GAGTTTGTGGTTTGGGGCTTCAAGGTTCCATGTTGCATCTGGGAGGCCACGCACACCAAGTTGAATTAAAGATGCCCGGAAGCCCGGTACAGAGTCACTCGCTGAGCCCTGGGACGCGAAGACTTTCAGCACCCCAGCACCCCGTCAATGAGGCACCTGGAAATCAGAAACACGGAATTCGCGCATATTCGCGCTTCGTGCTTGTACGTTTTGTGAAAACAGAGACGAGCATCTAGAGGCTACTTCTCGAGGTTCGGTGACGCCTGCGCCCCGAAAACGCGAGGCCCTAAACTCTTAAATCCAGTATCATGTGGGCTACAACCCATCAGCATCTGCAACAGGCCTGCTGCCGATCTTTGTTGCGCCTGCTTCGGCTGCGAAGCTCGTCTCTTTTATCTGGCAGTCGCTCCCCAGGGGGAGCACACTCTTAGCCGGCGTTTGATTTGAGGAGCTTCTCGGCTCTGGGGTCCATGCACCCCTAAGAAGGACCCACATTTGGTGCTCTGCCCACGTCCGCCGCGGATCTACCTTTCATGCCCAGGACAACATGGTCTCTCCGTCTTGATGTTTGAAGAGCTGTTCAACGGGAGGTCCATTGCACGCAAAGATGTCGACAAAGGATGCCACTATCAACGGGTACTGTAGCTTTAGCTGATTCGCAGTGTTGCATTTCGGCTTTGCAAGCGGTCGCAAGGTGTTTTGGCGACAGCTCCTTCGCAACATGAATGAGCCTTTGCTGATGCCAGGCCGATCTTCATCTGCCGCCGCTCCGAGGACCCCAGGCTGAATACGTATGAGTCTGGTCTCTGCAAACCCGTTTTTGGCTGCCGGGAGGGGGAGGTTGCTTGCAATTCTGTGGGCAGATTGCCTGACAGTCTTTCGCGACGGCCCCCACTTAAAGGGGAAATTCAACAATCCAGTGTAGGAGTTCCTTCCATGCGATCAGCACATCTGCAGGATGCGCAGAGCCTGTTGTCTATAGTCTAGAGGGTTGTGGTTTTCCGCTTTGGGCCTGAAGTTGTGGAACGTGAAGAGACTTGCTTTGGAAGGCCCCGAATCTTAACAACTTGCCTGCTTGCAGATGGGAGCTGAAAGCAGCTCACATGCATCCCACGACCATGCAATTCGATTGTTGGGGGCGTCTCATCGAAGTCCAGGGTTTCAGATCAATAGAAAATAAGATTTGTGCCCCGACAGAAGCTCTGAGTGCCGCGGGTCTTTGCATGCCCTATCGGGCTGCAAGCAGCTGTCCCGGCAAAACTACCATTGCATGATACCAGTAACTAGTACGTCGTATGAGGCATGTCGTCTGGATGAGATGGCCGCCAAACGCGCGAAGCTGAAGGTCTCAGTTCAATACCCAATGTCCCTGAGCTTCCTTCCTTGAGCTTGCAGCCAAGGAGATTAGCCCAGGCGACGAATACGAGGCAAAGCAATTGGCAAAGTGTGGCGGTACACATTCTGAGATAGTTTAGCATTAATAATAATTTCCCATCCTGAACCCTGAGCCACAGAAAGTCCCTTCAGACTGCAAGCCTCGTACCAAGAGCTCGAGTGTCACTCCTTCAAAAGCTTCTACGTAGGGGCTGTGGCATCCAGGCAGGGATAAAACGCGAAGCTCTGAGACTGTACCAAGCGGAAGCGCAGAGCTCTACGAACCTTGCTGCATAGATTCGCAGTTGACCAGCTATAGCAAAGCTATGGAAGAGCCGGCTTGGGGTTCGGGGTGGGCTGTTTTGGTCGTCTCCAAAGCTGCCTCTGACCTCATGGCTTTTTGCTTCTGTCTTTCTTTCGGTGAAGTCTGTGCCCTCGACGGTCTGGGGTTTCAGTTAAGGGCTACCAGTAATTCTAATGGTAGGCCCTACCATGCAGATTCGACAGCGCAGCATCCGCTACAAACAGCGCCCTCAAACCAAGCTAAGCTTTGACAACGCTCAGCTCGCCTCCACGAGTACTGCTGGCAATTCCGTCGACTCCGCAAGCAAACTCTGAATTCGAACCGTGCATGTGAAGCAACCTGTCGTTGCTTTGCACAGCGGAACCTGTGAATGTGGGCACAGAGTCGCTTTGTAGTTTCGCTGGGGTTCCAAATCTAAGGGCAACGCACCGAGAGGTGCATGAACACGACGATTTGTCATCTTGGAAGTTTAAGTACCCGTGCACACTGAATGGAATTGTGTGTATTTGAGGAAGATGCCCCGCGAAATCCGTGTACCCTCAATACGCTGGGATCCATGGAGGGACTCTTGGAGTAAATTCTTTGATCTTCAAGGCGGCGTACAACCAGCTCTCACATGCGGAAACGAAACCGGTGACTGGGCAGCAGAGGTGGGACGGTGGCAGAGGGGCTTGGATTGATTTCAAACTTGCGAGCTTTGGGTATTTAGGCGTCATGTTCGTAAATAGGGCCAAATAGGGTTTATTATGCTCAAATGCTGAACCACGACACGGTTCGTACAGCGTCCAAACCGCGAATGGTCAAAGCCAGCACTGTGCCCTCGTGTGCTGAAGCACAATGCCCAACATGGGTTTTTCAGAACAACTCGAGAATCTAGGCTTGGGATTGTGGCGTGTGCTATATAAGATACCAAACCTATTTATGGAGTTTTTTCTTTCAGATTATGCTAGATCGAGTATCGTGAAAAGCACAATTGAAGAAACAAGCTCCTGCAAGTTGACAATCTCTGAATTCCTTGAAGCCCGGCTGGAGTCACAAGCAGCTGGGTTGTTAGCGTGGGCTTGTGGGGCTTCGGTTGCTTCGCCTTGTGATGCAATAACGCCGACATCACCCTCAAGCTCGGCAGCCCGGAGCTGCTCCAAGGATGTTTGGGATGTGCTTCCACACATTCAGGAGACTATGTGGTGCCCATGCACTATGATTTTTTTCAGAAGATTAGTCTGCAAGGCGGCCAGGCTAGGCATCCAGGGCAAGGAGTTGGGAAGGACTGTGGCAGCGGGCAACTTCAAGGACTTTGATTCAGAGTTTAGTTTAGCTTTCGGTGCCTGTGGAAGCAGGGAAGCGAATTCAGATGCCCGTTTCCAGCATAAGGTTTTTTCACAGCTCCCCCTACTGCAGCGAATAAGGTATTGACAAATTCTAGGTCGTCTCAGGCATGGCAGCAGAACCTCACCCGATCATGGGCAGTAAATGTTTTGTTTTTCCGCTCAGGGCCGTGCCTGAAAACTTGCAGAAGCTCAAGTCCCAATCCACCAGCCCGAATTCCAAGTTTATGACACCTCCACAGTTCGGGAAAACTTTCCCCTGCGTCCCTGCGCCGCAACAACAAGATGATCGGACCACAGGTCGATCTCCAGCCGCATCCCAGCACGTCCAATCCAGAACAAGCGGAGTTTCTCTGGCCACGCACCCAAAACTCTAACAGTTCCGCTGCGTAGGTTGTATTCCGAAGCTGAGAGGGGCCTTATAGCAGCCAGTAACTTCTTGTCGGAAGCCCAAACTCGGACATTGATTCATGGCTGGGAGGACGTGGCCACCGCCAAGGAGGCCGTGAAAGCTGCGCTCGGCCCCCTCCAGCCCGTGCTTCGATTGCAGTGACTGTCCAAGATCCCAAAGTCAGTGCGTTGTCGGATGTGAGTCGTTTCTTGCTGATGTCTGTGGGGATTAGCAGTTGATGCAACGCGAGGGAGATCCAGTCAAGAGTTGAAAGCAAAAGTGTTTTAAGCTCAGCAGGTGTCCGATCCTACCAACTTCGAACCCCAGCCTGCAGAATCCCATTGTCGAACCTGTTCAGCTGGTGCTGGAAACCTCCTGCAGTGTCCGACTCCCAGGCACTCCTGCGCGTGGAGAACTGCACGCAAGCGCTGGAAGAGATACTGCAGTAGTCATGACATTGGCCCTGGGCCCCTGGGCTCTGCAGATCGGGAAGCCGTCTGCAACTGAGCGGCATCCGTCAGATGCAGGGTCTTGTGGTCCACCAAGTGAGAACAGACCCCAAGACTTCTAGCTCTCGAGCCTGATCCTTGATAAGACGCCTTGAAAGGTTATATACCTAGTTGCCATCAGGATGTTGAATGTGGAACCTGTGATCAGGCTGTTCTTCGCAAACAGACACGAAACCCTGCGCCGACATGATGCGATGGGCCCGAGGCGCCGTTAATGATCCTACCGCGAAGGCTCGAGCTTCTGTCAATCCAAATCCACTCTCCTACCCACGAGCCCGTCAGACAAAGTCAGCAAAGAACCGTTGAAGGGGTGTACAATGGTGTACAGTGTACATGTCTGATGTGGCTTGCATAGCGGCTAGTCTTGAACTCAGGAGCATAGAAGGGAAGGGCCAAGGCTCTGCTACCAGCTCCGGATCGCTGAATCCCGAAGCCTGAGAACCGAAGTTGTGGAGTTTATACTTGACTTCCTGCGGACCGCAACAATGTGAAGCAAGATTGACAGAGGCTTACCGGTCATTTTCAGTCACCCTCCCGTCGCGTGATATGGCTGAAAAAGAGACTGGAGCCCGCCCACGCTCGACTTGTGGGGCTTCGGTTCGCTTCGCTTTTTGCGTATGAGGTTCCTTGCAGCAGCGAAGCAGTCAAGGTTTGTCGTTCTTGGGTTGAGGCTGTAGGGTGTAGGTGTTGACAGATCGGCGACATCACGGGACCAACATGCTCAGCTCTCTGCCGGTTGCAGACGTGATTGGATAGGGTTCCTCGCAACTAAGCTGCCTGATTCAATAGAGATTTTGCTGGTGAAGGGCCGAGGCTTGCTTGTTTGCTCTTGCATCCGCACGCTTGCAGCACGCCGTGCCTACCTCTTGGGGATCATGTGGTGCAAGCTGCACAGAACTGCCCGGCGGTGTTTAATCTATGCGCGCTGCAAAAGCTTCTCCTGGACTGAGCAAGACGAGTCTCCCAGAGGTCACATCAGGTAAACCTGCCGGAGTTTCGGATCTCCGATTCCGGACATCGGAGCTAAGGGGAACGAAGACATATGTGATTACATCCTCGGCGAAAATCATGAGGTTGAACCTTGCGTAGTCACGTATCAAACAAAGGCCACAACGGGTAAACACAACTTCTCAACCCTGAGCTTAAAGCGCCGTAACACTCCGAGTTCGGGATTCCGGAACCTTGCCAGCCCATAGGCCATAAGTCTGACGATTCCAGAAATGCGGTTCAACGATTAACCTTTTCGCAAACAGCCTATGAAGCGCATAGAACGCACGGACATGCACATGTGTTCACACGCAAAAACACTTGCGGACGTCTACACACATGCATGCAAGGCGAGGTCGACACTCCCTGAGCACGATGCAAGTATAAACCAGGGCTTTCGCCCCTCAAAGCCTGAACTGAGCATGGGTTTATCGAGCGGAGCCTCAACTCCCGAATCTCACTGACTTGCTGACCTGGAGGTCGCGAGCGTTTGCGGCGTCAGCAGCGGCTGGCGAAGAGCTTCTTCAATGCTACAGAGGTGCGGCAACACCTGCAGCCTCTGACTCAATTCTGGTGCCTTGTTAGATCTGGAAGGATTTATGACACAGGAGTCTGCTCATCGAATGTAGTCTTGACTGCCGAGACACATATTTCTTGGCGAGCTGATATCAAACACAGATGTGCCAGGATCCGAAAAGGTTTCTTTCGGACCGGTCCGAAAACCAAGCCCCGCTCCGACAATCAACAAGTCAGATCTGAGCATCTCTACCGAGGCGGTGGTCTCGCCCCAAGCAGACTTCTTCTAAAGGTCATGCATATGCCGACGAGGCGTTGATGGAGTCGGTTGTTGGGGCCTGGGCTCAAGCGACGGTGGACAATCGTTGAGCCCTCAGAGATGGGCTCCTGCAGAGTGGTAGAGACGGCTTGTACCTCTTGCTCGGTCCTTTGATCTACTCCTGCGGAGGCGCAGACATCAGACTGTGAGGGTTCTCCAAGCAGGCCGAGGAGAGTAGGCTTCGCGGTTTTCGTCATCATCGTGACTAGTCTGCTCGACATCATCATTGTCTTCGTCCTCCACACCGGCATCACCAGCATCGTCGCCTTCATCATTCATCACTTTCCCTTTGGTGTAAAGCTGGAGGGTTGCGATTTCGTGGATTATTCGATGGTAGCTGTGGGTTTTTGCGGCCAAGGTGTGGCTCGCAAGAGGCGCGTGTTCGACGAGCTGGGTTGATTGCTGTGCTTTTCTGGTTGCATGCCGGTGTATGCGCTCGTCATGCCTGCATTTACCAGAAGTCGGAGCCATTGGAAAGAGGGCCCATATCTTCAGGGTCAAGACTCAAGACATTCCGACTTCAGAATTTTGTGCATCCTCCAGAGACTGAGAAGCTGCTTCGAAAGTTTCTCGCCGAATCGGCTCGGGCCGGAGCTCCCTCTTCGAAGGCAGGAGATGCTGCGCGAGCAGAAGCTTCGGGCACCGCGCCCAGACTGAGACTGTGAGGATTCTGGATTCTGGGTTTCGCCGTCTGAGAGATCCTGAGCTCGACCCCACAACCAGAACCCTGGCAGGAGGAATTGCAGAAGCGCGCCAACGAACCCCTCAAGACCCTCAAAAGCAGGAGGTGGATCGGATCCTCCGCACCGGGATCGGCCAAGGAGCCGAGCTCTACTGCATCTTGCAGGCGGGATGTCAATGTCGGATCTTTTGTTTACTGGTTTCAAAAGGTGACGGCTAAGCAGTGCAATTGCGAAGCTTTCGTTTTTCCAGGTCTGTAAAATTTTGGGGTTTTGTAGGCTTTGTCAGGAAGCCCCGTAGCAAGTCACAAGAATCTGCAGAGGCAACGCCGCAAAAGGCTTGAGCTTGCAGTACCGCCATACTTCCAGGCATGGCACCGAACGATGGTCCATCGCCGACAGAACGTGCGCAGCCGCAGCAAAACTGCTGAGGCCGCTGGTCTATTCTAATGCTCGGGCTTCGGGTGGAGGTTTTGGCGGTGCACGTATGGCTTGAGGCTTTCGTTTGGGGGTGCAGGGGCCGCGCAATCTGTCGAGGACATTTTCCCGGTTGCAAAAGTTGTCGGCTTTGTGGCTTCAGTTTTTTGAGTTTAGGCGTTGGAGGTTTGGGTCAAGACTTGCTTTGCATATGTCATAAATGGCTGAGCCCACCCACGGCACCTCAACCTTTGCAGACCTTCTGAAAATGCTTGCGCAACCAAAACTAGCCACCAAACGCGAAAACGGTGGAACTACTCACCCCCCGAAGCAGCTTGCAGTGCCACATGAAGCCCTGGAAGGCTGCAGCCCAGTTTGCAGCGGACCACCTGCGCCTGGCCTTTTCGGCTTGGTGCGGGTTCCTGAAGGCTCGGAAAAGCTGCGAGCAGCGCTAGCAGCCGCTAGCATTCATGCGATTTCATGCGTTCCTGTGAAGAGATAAGAATCAGCTTAAAACCTGATAGGGGCCACGAACCCGAATGCAGACACGCGCAACGCAGATATCGTCAACAAAAATAAGTAGAAGGAAAGGCATATTCATACGACCGAACGAATAATGTTGTGAGTGTATTACATCGGATGGGCGGAGCTGTGCTGGGCTGGGCTGGCTGGGTGGGG